AAGCACTCTGCTACAATTGGGGATTATGACAACACCTCTAATTAACAGTTTTAAAAATATGTGTGCGTATGTGTATGAGTCTGTGTGAGTGTGTATACGTGAGATTGTATGTGTTTGTATTTCTCTAGTCCTTCCAGCTGTGGCCTCCTGTTAATATCCCTTTCCTGTGCACTAAGAGGAGTGTCTTAGCAACTTTTCTGGGCAAGCCTTGAACTGGTACCCATTCTTCCCTCCTCTTTTTTTTTAAAATAAATTTATTTATTTTTGGCTGCGTTGGGTCTTCATTGCTGCATGCAGGTTTTCTCTAGTTGTGGTGAGCGGGGGCTACTCTTCGTTGCGGTGCGTGGGTTTCTCGTTGCGGTGGCTTCTCTTGTTGCGCAGCGCGGGCTCTAGGCGCGTGGGCTTTAGTAGCTGTGGCTCGCGGGCTCTAAAGTGCAGGCTCAGTAGTTGTGGCGCGTGGGCTTAGTTGCTCTGCAGCATGTGGGATCTTCCCGGACTGGGGCACGAACCCGTGTCCCCTGCATTGGCAGACGGATTCTTAACCACTGCGCCACCAGGGAAGACCCCTCTTTTTAAATGTACCTCTGTTCTTCTTCAAACAAGGAGGAAACGAGACAAGAACTCCTCCCAGCTGGAGGTTGCCCACTGCTTTTCCACCCCTTGCCATGTACGCAGAGCGGGGAGGGGCAGCTGCATGCAGGATCTACCTTGGGGCAGCGCTTGGTGGCCTGAATCCTCTAAGTCAGGCAGCCCTAGCTTTGAATCCTGGCTTGGTGCTCAATTTTTCCTAGTTGTGTAACCCTGGATAATAACCCTTGATCTTTTTTGAACCTCAAATTCTTCATCTGTAAGAGGAAGAAAGAATATTTACCTTGCAGGGCTGTGAGGACTAACAGTGCACACAAAAGGTCTTACCTAATGGCTCTGGCATTTTAGACAATTAGTATATAGTGGTTATATTACTATTATCTGCAAAAGTGTAAGCCAGGTGGAGTGTTTTTCGTACCTCTTGTAGCACCTAGTGTTTATCCTGGCTCCCATTTCCTACATCTTAGGTGGACCATTTCAGGGACATTGATGTTGAAACATCAGGCTTCTGGAGTCTAAACGCTTGACCAGAAATCAAACAAGCAGGCTTTAATGGTGGAAAACAGGCAGAGGCACCTGTCCTGGTTCCCCGTAGATGGGAGGGTGATGGGGTGGGGGCAAGGTTACTGGAATCACTAGGAAGGAGGATCTAGGGTTAAAGGAAGGGAATTCCTTGGAGGTCCAGTGGTTTTAGGACTTGGTGCTTTCACTGCTGAGGGCTCGGGTTCGATCCCTGGTCGGGGAACTAAGATCCTGCAAGCTGAGTGGTGCAGCGAAAAAAAAAAAAAAAAATAGAGTTAAGGGAAGGCTCACTTTCTGCCCCCTGTGGAGATGAGTGCAGTAATAACATGGTTTTATTTTATTTTATTATTTATTTATTTATTTTACAGTACGCGGGCCTCTCACTGTTGTGGCCTCTCCCGTTGCGGAGCACAGGCTCCGGACGCGCAGGCTCAGCGGCCATGGCTCACAGGCCCAGCCGCTCCGCGGCATGTGGGATCTTCCCAGACCGGGGCACGAACCCGTGTCCCCTGCATCAGCAGGCAGACTCTCAACCACTGCACCACCAGGGAAGCCCAACATGGTTTGTTTTTTAAAAGGAGGTGAAATTTAAAAATCATGAGGTGGAGAGTATTTCTGCCTTAGACTGGATGGTTCGGAGAGGCCTCCGTGGAGGGGACATTTCAGTGAAAGGTAAAACAGGAAGGCGCTGCCACGTGAGTTGGGAAGAAGGAGAGGCCTCTTTGAGGAAATGAAAGAAGGACCCCCAACCCCATGTGACAGAAGGGCAGTGCTGAGGAGACGGCCCAGGATATGAGATCAGGGGAGCACGGGGCAGAGGCCAGATCACTCAAAGAGAGTCTTTGGGTTGTTGGGGTCCTGTTTCAATCCACACACGTCAACCTCTACCCCCCTTCCCACTTCTGCGTCCTCCAAACTCGATCAACCAGAAATTCTGACACCAAGAGCTGCCCATCCTGCGACCACCAGCCTCCAGCTCTGCTCCTCCACTGTCTTCGTGCCTCAGTTTCCCCACCAAAAAATCCTTAATACTATTCTTCCTGAAGAGCCACTACATGAGGCTTCAAAGAGGTGCTACCATCCCTCTCCATCTTTTCTCTTCTTTCTCCTTCTCTGCCTGGCCCAGGTGGGAGGGAGCAGACCCTACACCTTGGAGGTCAGCAGCTGAGCCTTAATAAAGCTTTGACTCCTTACTTAAAAAGGTATCTAGAAGGGTTGTTGTGAAGCCCCTGCCAGTAGAGCTCAGGCTCACCCTCCTCCTTTTTTAGCAGAAGGGAAGCAGCTGGGCAGGTGAGGGAGGCTCCCTGCAGGGGAACAGGTGCATGAGAGCTGCTCCCCGCCCCCCTCCGGCCTCACCCTCGCTTTGTCCCTGCTCTGATTATTGCTTTATTACTGTTTTCAGTCAGATATAATTCCAGCATTTTCTATAATCTTGATCTTTTCATTGATACCAGATTTCTATACAAAGATTTGTATATAAAATGATTATGTACCCACCAGAATACATTCCCCAGCAATTAGAACGCCTAAGATGCAGCTCCCAACATGCTTCTGCACATTCCTCATTTATTACTTTTGAAAGTGTTTTGTGATTTTTTTTTTTTGGGTGCATGTGTTTACAAATCCAATAACAATTCTCATTTAGAGTTGCAAAACACGAAGCCAATTTTGAACCCAGACAGATGGCAGCTAAATGAAGTTTAATTAAAGAATGAGTGCTTTGAATCAAATCACTTTAAAAAGTACAGTACGCTGAGATTCTGGAGAGGTTGCATAAACAGCATCTGGCTCTCTTGCAGAAAGCAGGGGATGCTTGGGAGGACATACTCGGTAAGGCATCCCTCAGCGTATCTGGGGGTGCTGGCTGGGCACACTGGGCAAAGCGAGCAGGCGGGGTGGGGGGTGGAGGGGAGGTGGCCAGCGGCCCCCAAGCACATCCTCCGTACTCAACCCGGACACACCTCCCAAAGCCCGGAGCGCCCGGGACAGGAGGGGAAACGGACACAGGTCACCTCTTGGTTCAAAAGCTTTGACTTGACGGGAGGGGTTCCGCCTTATGCTTTTATGAAATGAAGTCCGGCAACAAGGCGCGAAGGTTTGCTGCACCAACCTACCTATTTGCACACGTCCGAAAGATGACAGATGCAGACACTCTGCAGTCCGCAGCGCTGGTGTTCCGGGGTTCCAGCGCCCTTCCCCGGGGCTCCCCGCCTCTCCGCGCAGTCGGCGGCGGCACCGTCTCGGGCACGCGGAGCCCCGCCCTCCCGGGGCCGGAGCCACTTCCGGCTCTGGCCGCAGATCTGAGCCCGGGGGCGGGGCGACCCTGGTCGGTCTAGACAACCGGGAGGCGCCAGCTGGGGTGCGGGGGCGCCAGGTGGACCCGAGTCCCAGGCCGGCCAGGCCGCGAGGAAGCCGGTGCCAGGCTGCAGCCGCTCACTGCTCTGTGGCTGACGTGGAGAAGAAAGGGGACAGATCGGTGGGATGAGAGGCAGAGGAGGGGGACAGACCGGGAGCGCCAAGAAGTTGGCACTCAGTGCTGCGGGGGAGGGAAAGCAGTGGGGTTTTTTAATCCAGGGAGAGATAGGATGAGATGGGGGAAGGCTGGGTGGCAAGAGAAGGGGGCTTGAAGGCAAGGTGGCAGCTGCAACGATGTCCTTGATCTCCTAGGCAGTTTATGCCTTGCGGGGGGTGGTCAGTAGAGGGGGTCGCCCCTCCCCCTGATCCTGGAGATTACAAGGCCAGCTGGGCCCAGGGCCAGGGGCCTGAGGATGGAGTGGAGAGCCCTGGCAGGTCCTGGGGCCACTGGCATGTGGCAGAAAGAGGACAAGTTTGGGTGGGGCATACCCAGCTCGTGGTTCCGGCTTCTTGCGTCTTTCTAGGAGGAAGCAGAGTCTGGAAGGCTGGGACAGGGCCTTCCCTCCCAGCTCTGGGCACCGGGCTAACCCAGAGAGCTGGCAGAAGCTCCTGAACCGTTTGGATCGTGTACTTAGCTGATTCAGGACTCAGTTCCTCCAAGCTGCAGGCTTCCTGCTGGACCTTGGCTGGACCCCGTGGTCACCCTGACTCCTCTACGCCCCAGCACTTGCATCCAGTTGACCTCCAAGTCCTGTTGGCTGCCCTCCCTGTTATTCTCCACCTGGCTCAAACCCTGCCAGCTCTCGCTGGAACAACTACAAGAGCCTCCCACATGGCCTCCAGCTTCTCTCTCCTCTGAAGTTTCCTGGCTGCTGGAAGTGGACCCTTCCAAAATGCAGATCTGGTCTTGGTTCTCCCCTGGTACTCCGTGCTGTGGCTCTCACCACCATACCCCATCACCTTTACCCGGCCCACAAGGTCTTCCACCAGGGCCAGGGAGAACAGGATGCAACGTGCAAGGCTGGGCCAGCAGAACCCAGGCTGCATTTCTGCCCCCGCCCACCTCTCGATCACAGCACCATGTGCAGGCGGCAGCCTGCTGGGAACACACCCACCTATCCGTCACACTTCCAGCCGCTCTCCTTGAGTCCTCTGCTCCAGCGACTCCTTGTTCCTGGAATTTCCAGGTTCTCAGTCCGGGCCTCCCTGCCTTTGCACGTGCGGCTCTCCCCCCTTTGTGCCACCGTCCTGCGCCAGCCCTCCCCGCTTTGTCCCACCAACTCCTAATGTGCTTCTAGGACCATTTCCTGATTCTGCGCTAGGTAAGGGCGCCCTGCCTTCCCCACCAGGACTGAATGAGCGGCCACTGGGTGCCAGGCCTGGACTACCGCCAGGCCCTTTTGACTTGTCTTTCTGCCTCCGGTCTCATCCTTTCCTTCACCTTTCCACCTGCCACCAAAGAGGTCTTTCTGAGAAGCAGCTGTGACCCATCACTCTGCTTCAGTACCCAGAACTCTGTCAAAAACCCACCCCAGGTGCTGGCTTCGGCAGCACCTACACTAAAATCGGAAGGATACAGAGATTAGCATGGCCCCTGGGCAAGGATGACACGCAAATTTGTGAAGCATTCCATATTTTTAAGAGAAAAACAAATACCGTATGCTAACACATATGTATGGAATCTTAAAAAAA